GCAGCAGTAGCAGCAGCAGTAGCAGTAGCAGGAGCAGTAGCAGGAGCAGGAGCAGGAGCAGAGCAGGAGCAGGAGTAGCAGTAGCAGTAGCAGTAGAGCAGTAGCAGGAGCAGGAGCAGGGTAGCAGTAGGAGTAGGAGTAGGAGTAGGAGTAGGAGTAGGAGGAGTAGGAGTAGGAGTAGGAGTAGGAGTAGGAGTAGGAGTAGGAGTAGGAGTAGGAGTAGGAGTAGGAGTAGGAGTAGTAGTAGTAGTAGCAGTAGTCGGAGCTGCAGCAGCAGCAGCAGCAGCAGTACGAGCAGGAGAAGGAGCAGAAGCAGAAGTAGAAGTAGGAGTAGTAGTAGCAGTACCGGGAGTATCAGTACTAGCCGCGCAAACCAGCGGTAGCGGCAGTAGCAGTAGTAGCAGTAGTACAAGTAGTAGCCGCAGCAGTAGATGCAGTGTCCTAGCTTCAAACTGCTGCAGGCATGTAGCAGATCACGAAGGTCATGTTTTTGCCTCAAGGCTTTAACGGCCAGGTCTTCAGCCGAAGCGTCCTCGCTGAGCAGACATCGCAAGGGACCCGGTTGCCACGAAGGTCGGTTGTCGGACTAGTGGAATCTCAGGGATCACTGATGTGCTAGAAGTGTCTTGGTACCAAGACTTTGACGCCGAATACTTCAGCACACAAGTTGGTCTTTTCCAACAGTTACATCTTTACAGTATTTGTGGTTTATCAAGCAAGCAGCGGCCTTATGCTCTGCACATTAAAATAATCTGACAGGGTGCGAAGACTCTAATGATTACTCTACTGCTGTATACATGCTGGAGCACGTCGAGACTAGAGTTTCCGAAATACTGCGCTTTGTATGTTATTTGATGATTTTGCAGTAGTTTCCTGGTTTGCTAGAAGAAGAGGCAGATGCAGTTGTCATTGCCTTTGGCGGTTGCAAACACCCTTGGAAGTAAGACCGCTGCACTTTGAACAAGGTAATTGAACATGAAGATCCAGACCACAATTTGGGAAGAAGCGACAAGCAAGATCCCAGCCGCGATCCTGAAGCCCGAAACTGTCAACGTAAGCAGCCTTTTTTAGCTCGCTCCTGGTTTCTCTTGGCGACCTTGGCAGTTGCGGAATTAGGACCGCGCAGCTTCGAGGGTGACATAGAGGGCGTTTAATATTGTATGCAAGTTCACTTGTGTTCAGATGTGTTGTTTGATTCAGCAGCTTTTTCGAAATCAACATAGCAAGCAGTTCGCTTGGCTGAAAGGCTTTAAGTTAAGCAATAAGCTCGGTGGCTGCCTTGCTTCAAGAGGCGAGCCCTGCTCTGACAGGGCGCTTTTCGTCCCCCTTGGGCATTCGGCCGAGTCGGTGCTTCTTCGAGAAAAAAGTTTTGTAGGCTCCCGCTGGTCCGTACAGTAAGCTCTTGCTGCTGCGATAATTTTTCATAATGAAGAAAGTTGCCTCGGCGTTCTTCCCCGCCTCGTGCCACTCTCCAGGCCCGCAGCGCTGTCGCTTGGCCGATGATTGAGCGCGCTTCGTTGTGTAGTAGAATAGTAGAAGTGACCACCGCCCATGACCACAGGATAGTTTCTCGGACAAGGCGGTAAGGTTGAGGCGACCATGGCAGATGTGCTTGGGAAGCTGAGCCTGGCCCATTTTGGCCTCAAGGCGTCAAAACCTTTAGGGGTTCAGTCAGGCTGAAATGGCATTCGGGCAGAGTCAACCCTCTCAACGTCCTGCTGATTGCGGCCTGCAGATACCCTGAAATCTTACCACAGGCCTCAAACATGACAGTATCGCAACAACCCTACATCCCGAGCCGTGAATTCGGGATTCTTGGAGCTTGAGGCTGATCCACGACACAGACGCCCTCGTCGAAAATGCCGGGCGCTCGGGGTCCTTCCTGTTAGCCATTTGGGGAGAAGGGATGTGAAAACATCACACTTGCTGCAACCGTGCGAAACGCGCAACCCCTTCATGCAGTTTCCAGGGCCGGGCCCCATTTTGTGAGGTTTCCTTCCCGGACCTCGACTTGGATGCGGGTGAGATCGGCGGAACATTGTCTTGGTGTGGAGCCCGAGCCATTTATCGACAAGACGATGTTTGAGGAATATTGTCAGAGAGGTAGACTTTTTCGTGCCGCTTGATGGTGGTGGTGTCGGTGGCGGCTAGGGGAAGTGATGGTGGTCGGAGTCGGATCAGCAGTAGGCAGTAGTAGTAGCAGTAGCAGTAGTAGGAGTAGGAGTAGGAGTAGGAGTAGGAGTGGTAGCGGTAGCGGTAGCGGTAGTGGTAGTGGTAGTGGGAGTGGGAGTGGGAGTGGGGGTGGGAGTGGGAGTGGTAGTGGTAGTGGTAGTGGTAGTGGTAGTGGTGGTGGTAGTAGTAGTAATAGCAATAGTAGTGGTAGTAGTAGAAGAAGTAGAAGTAGAAATACTCGTCGTCGTCGTATGCGTCGGAGAAGTCTTCATCAGGATGTACCTGTATCCATAATCATCGCAAAACAGGAACAGAGCAGCCCTTCAGCTTGTTCAGGTCCCCTGCCGCAGACAGCAGTCTTGTGAATACCTCAGCACTTCTGTCGCAGGCTTGCCGTTTTCAGGTTTGATCCGTGCCCGTTTCGATCTTCGGTTTGGGTGTCTTGTCTCATGTTCTGATCTAGGATTGCAGGTGTTTGCTGCTGCAGTGGCTTGCGCGTCGACTCGACATGGATCTGGTCAGATCTGGCACGGAGTGGAATACAAAATCTCGTGATGTATCCAACCCGCCACAAATGAAGCCCCAACTACCTCCAAAGGTGACAGACTTTGTTGTGTACTTCTCCAACGTGCTGCCGCAAGCCCAGATCCAGCAGAGGAGTTCTGCGACTTCCGCGGTACGCGTGAGGGCTTGCTCCATCATTTCTTTTGTCATCATGACTTCATCACCATCACCATCACCATCATCACCATCACCATCATCACCATCATCACCATCATCACCATCATCATCATCATCACCATCACCATCAACACCATCACCATCACTATCATCATAACAATCGCCATCACGTCTTTGCAGCAGTGCCGATAGCCAAGATCGCAGAGCACTAGTTTTTCCTTTGTCATCAACACCATTACCATCATCTGCGTTCTGGTGGCCTTTTCGTGATCGTCGTATCGCTATCGTATTCATCGCCTCATGTTCGTGATCGCAATCCTCCTGGCCGACTTTTCTTTCTTTGTCATACTTCAAGAGCACCGCCATCGCCATGTGAGTTCTAGTCCTGATGTGTGTATGGAGCTTCATCTGCACCTTCATCTTCACCGTCTTGTTGATCGTCCTGCAGTTTTCCTTTCCATCATCACAATCATCCTCGTCATCATTATCATCATCATCAGCAGGCTCAGCCTCAGCCTCAGCGTCGTCATCATCATCGTGGTCCCGTCATCCGTCGCCGGTCTCATCGTGATTCTCGTGCTCGGGGTGTTCGTTGTGCACGCTTAGAAATTCCCGACTGACAAAACGCCGCTTTTTTTTGTTGCAGGCCGGTTGAGTATGCGACCGTGGGACACAACATTACGTCTGTGGACGTCTTGGGCTCAGAAGAGCGTCGGAACTGCCAACGTGGTTCATCATTTTCGCCGGGCCAAAGCCACAGAAGGCTCGTGCGGGGTTTCAGCTTGAGGGGTAGAAAGCTGGAGTACAAACCTGGATGGCAAGCGGGTTTGGCCTTGTACTCTGCTGCTCATCTTGACGCGACCAACATGAATGGAGATTGCAGCCAACACTGTGTCGGCCTCCACACGAATGAATCAGCTTACACCCTCTGAGCCCCGAGGTGCCACCTGAGCGAGAATCCAATTACTCGTGCTCTGACTATGTTGTCTCTGGGCAGGGGGATTTGGTCTTTCAGTGGCTAAGGGATCAGGTGTTTGCCAGAGAGGCAGGAACGGGATGCTGGTCCGGTATCTTTTGCCCGATCCAAGTGGCATCGTCAGAGTGAGCAATGAGTGCTATTGTCGTTCAGGCCGTACATCAATTCAATTTTCGGAGCCCGGCTTAGCGAATTGGAGTGCCCTCGCTCCCGGCAGCTGCCAGGTTCTTCTTGATCTTCAGCAAGTCGTCGCTAGCCGAAGCGACCACTCCGTACAATCACACCATCGTGGAACGCTGAGGACGTGAAGCACGTCAGGGCTCGAACTTTTGACAGGTATTTGGAGTTTAAGGCACAGGTTTTGCAGCCAGGGGGCACAAGGTTCTAGAACTGGGGGCCCTCGAAACACATTCAGGTGGATTTGGATGCGTCGGTGCAGACGATGCAGTTCGTCGGCGAGGAGTTGGGAGTCCCGCTGTTATGTTAGTGGTGACGAGATGGTTCAATCGGCGGCAGTAGTAGTAGTAGTAGTAGCAGTAGTAGTAGTAGTAGTAGTAGTAGTGGTAGTGGTAGTGGTAGTGGTAGTGGTAGTGGTAGTGGTAGTACTAGCAGTGGGTAGTGGTAGTGGTAGTAGCAGTAGCAGTGGGTAGTGGTAGTGGTAGTGGTAGTGGTAGTGGTGGTGGTAGTAGTAGTAGTAGTAGTAGTAGTAGTAGTAGTAGTAGTAGTAGTAGTAGTACTGGTAGTGGTAGTGGTAGTAGTAGTAGTAGTAGTAGTAGTAGTAGTAGTAGTAGTAGTAGTAGTAGTAGTAGTAGTAGTAGTAGTAGTGGTAGTGGTAGTAGTAGTAGTAGCGATGGTCAGTGGAATCATCACAACAGTAAGATTGTTATGAATTGCAAAGCGAGCCGCAAGTTTAGCACCCGCAGTTTGATTCACAATGTCGATCATCATCATCGCCATCATCATCGCCATCATCATCATCATCTTCTTCTTCACACGCGGCAGAGAGAGTCCTGTCCTGCGAGCACCATACAACTCTCGTAAGAGTCGGCCGATAATTACGGCAGGCACTGATGCCTCGTACGGGCGCCAGTTTAAACAAATTTCACCGACGTGACGTAGCTAAATACTCGAGTTGTTGCTTTGCAACATCTCAGCTTGTTGAGCGCACTACTCAGTCGTCCAATGACTCAAGCATGATGATCAGAGGCTGAGGCTGGGCATACTTGTTGTGAGAGCCCTTTCGAGAGTCCTTGCGAGCCCGAGCTTCCAAAGCACGAATGTATCCCTGCATTCGGTTGTGAGCTTGCTGCATGGCTTCGAGACGCTCTGCCAGAGCCGAGAGCTGTGTGCGAATCAGAAAGAGCTGACTGGAGATCCAGTCCAAGTCCTCCTCCCTCAGAGCAAGCGGCTGTCGGGGAGCATCCATGATGCTCGCTTGCGGTCTCTGGCTTAAGGCTCGAGGGTGCAGAGGCTGCGTGACTGCTGGTAAGAAGCATTACATACACATTTGCACTCAGATGTCGGAGCTGCACGCTCGCGAGCAAGGCTGGCGTTTTTTCATCATCAAGCATCCACCAGGCTCCATCGAGGAGGGCTGCTGCTGTGTAGTGGCCTTGGGAAGGCACCTTTCCGTGATGCTGAATGCAGGCACTCACCCTGTACTCAACCCATTGAACCTCGAACGAACTGGAGTCCTGAAAGACTGGAAGCGTTACGAATGCTGGTAGAATATAGGCCTGTGCATGTTTCGCCGGCCGCCCCGGTGATCGATATAAGAACCTCGGGATCTGGAGAAAGAGCCGCGGAGGCGCGCGATTCAGGGCATGCATGGCATTCTGGGTATGCCACCACTGGATTAGGGTCTGTATCTGGGGTGTTGGGCTATGGGTATTAAGGTGAAGCTGCAAACACCGAAGAGTTGAGACCGGCGCCGTTCGGCTGATGCCAGTGTCTGTGTGCTGCCTTGTCTCCCAGCAGCCTGGCGGTGCCGGAGAGACCAGGCGAGGCTGTAGGAAGTCTATCAACTCAGCAACGATCGTGCTGCTGCCGGGGACGTGAACGTGACCAGCCCAGAAGGCGAAGCCCCATCAGACGCATGGCCACAAGTGGCCGCTCTGATTGTTCCCACAAAACCTGAGTCATGAGATGAGCCGCAATCCATAAACAGTTGAGAAAAGAGTTCAGATAACAGCTATTCGACCCACCCTGAAAAGCTATGGTCGGAAGGGCTGGGGTCACAGCTGAACCGCCCGTGTGCGGAGAGTGTGCCGGGGATCCTGTCACAGGCCGGTGTGCTGCCAGTGAAGCCGTAAGCGAGCCGGAGCCGTCCTGATCTACCTTTGGCAAAACTGGTTGGCCAGGTTCTTGGCCAACTGGGATCGTGGCAGAGTGTCCTTCTTCATGGAGACCCCGATGAGACTCATCAGCGAGTTCCCGCAGAGGCGGCTGAAGTAGTCGTAGAGCTCCTGGGCCGTCTTGCCCCTGAGGGAGATTTCCAGGGCAAAGGTGGCCATCTGGGCGCCCTGCTTCGGGAGTTGAACCGTAGAGCCGAAGCGCTGGATTGCATCGCCGTTCAGATTCTCCAGTAGGAAGCTCAAGATGCGGATGGCCTCGGTGTGCTGGAGAGGCGCCTTCTGGTCGTCGATCTTGAGACGGAGATCTGTGTGACACCATCGCCGGTAGGTCAACTCCGATGAGGCGGTGAGCCACTCGGCTTTGATCATGCGGGCCTTGTTCTCCTCCGTCGCCACAGCCTGCTGCGCCAAGTTGAGTAGCTCCTTGACCATGCTGGACATGAGCACCGTTCTCAGAGGTGAGCGAACAGCCGTTGTCTCGAGAGACTTCTGGCGATTCCACTACTTCGCCACTTTCATCAAGGAGCCCAAGGTCCCCTCCTCCGTCTGCTTCATGAAGAGCATGAAGGCCTTTTCGTGACGCAGGCGGCTGATAACTTCCTCCTGCTGCAAGACCACACGTGTGAGGAGTCGAAGAGGATCCTGAGGGGGTTGTCGAGACGGCTGCCCGAAGGGAGGCCCATATGGTGGTGGTCGAGAGGCAGGTTGCCGAGGGTGCTGCCATCGCTGTGGATGCTCGGGGCGCGGGCGCTCTTGGGAGCGCCCGTCCGGAGTCAAGAGAAGATCGTGGTGCCCGGGCCAGTAATGGGCAAAGATCTCGGCTTCCTCCTGGCGCCCGAACTCCGGCATCTCCCCGTGCATCACGGGTGTCCCGAGCACAGACGACCGCTATGCACAACTGAATCAGTGGGGTGCATTGTGTGACATGTCGCCCTGGGGCGCCCACCTTGTGAGTACACCACAGGCACGAGCTGTGCCGTCGGAGCTGCGACTTAAAGCTTTTGCACAGTGCTATCGCTCGGGGCATGACTGTGGGCTTATCTTTGAGGTGCACTCTGTTAAGGTGCTGTTTCATGTGCTTAAAGTCCGAAACCCAGAAATGACACAAGGCACAATGATTGCGAAGCTCGAGACGCACAGCTGGGATGCGGAGCCAGCGCTCCCAATTTTCAAGATGGTCCAGAAAAGCACGGCGGGAGCGGCTATGTGTCAGCTTGCGGGTTGGGCCTAAAGGAGGAGCCGGCCCGGCTGGCCGGTCGCGGCCATGGGCCGACGGATGTCAGGCAGTTTGCTGGCACGCCTGCTTTTGCCACGCCTTCCCGCGTGGGGCGGGATTAGTTCAGGGCTGTTTGGGTGCAGGGTGGTCAGGAACTGAAAGTACCGATTCCACAGGCTACGCGGACGGCCAATTTGTAAAGATGCCTGCCTTTCAGAGAATTTCCAAGGTCTGAAGCGGCTGCTCTGTGTTGCGCGAAATTCGTAGGTGGCCCACTTGCGGAGAATGACTCCATTGAGTCGCTGGGATGCCAGCCCTTGTAATTCACACCAAGTTGACAAGGATAGGCGGCGCCGCAGCGCCCCCACCTGCCCGGCAACAGATCTGTTGCTGAGGCTTTCCTGTTGTTTTCGAAGTTGGCAGCGAAATTGGCTGATAAAGTATTCGTGTGCTTCTTCCAGCTCTTTCCCTTCCATCCAGAGGACGGATGTGTCAGACCACCATCCGTCATCATCATGCTCTGCCTCCTCTTCGGCTGTTTCCGGGCTGTCGTCTTCGGAGCCATCTGAAGGTTCCGAGGAGGAGGATTCTGGAGGCGGTCGCCTCGCTGGCGTGAGTCGCCCCAGTTCGGGCCCAGGTGCTTGAGCTTGGTCGGCATCTCCTCGGTGCGGCTCAGGCCGGTAGCCAGGATGCCCTCTCGGGAGGGGCCCGTCTCGCTCCTCGTCACGAGGAGTGCAATCCATGTCATCAGCAGCGGAAGCAGAATCCATGCTGTTTGACGAGGCGGCTCTTCTGTCATACGATGCACCGAAGACGACAGCACAACGCCAAAGGCCACAAAACAACAGAACAACTCTTTTCCGGGCTTCTCACAGCTGCGAGCCGTGGGGCTTCCTCACCGCCATCATCATCATCATCACCATGATGATGATAATCACCATCTGTCTCTGCATAACCATCATTTGAGCTTCCAGCTCCTTCAACTGGAAACCTGAAGGGCTGAGGTGGGCCGTCAAGTTGTCCCTCTACTTCCGAAGCAGAAAAGTATAGAAAAGTGTTGGCTTCTGCTGCCATGGCTGATGGTCCAATTTGGAGGGTTGATGGATTGCACCCTGATTTGGCAAGCACAAGGGTGTAGGCATCTCAAGGAAAGTTATATATTGACAGCTCGGCGTTTTTGCGCATCAGCCAGCTCATGAAAATCGTCGCCCCTTGCTCAGAACGTTGTAGTGACCTGAAGTAAGCCGGTCACCATGGTGGTACCTCGACGGTTTGTGGTGTTTCGAAAAACGGCAGCTTTATCAAGGTCATTCAAGGTCCCTTCAGCGGTGACGCAAACAACCAGCGGGCCGCACTGTCGAGACCATGTAAGGCGGTTTGGTCATGCCACCTATTGACGAGCCGCTGAATATCAGGATTGTCCATAGTGAACTTGCTCGGTGAGAGGCACACAGTCTGCATGCAGAGCCCCGTACTCACGAGTGCTGGGTCTCAACGTTGACACAGGTTATGCAGCCGTGAGAGCAAGGCTGTGTCCGGTGGTAGCCTTTCCATCATCCAATTTTCTTAGGCGGTAACATGCGGTAACTCTGGTCAAACGTGCTGGTTGGCGGAGGATTGCTCTTACGTGCCTGTTGGCCAGGACATTGACACGCTTCAGTCCCTTGGCAGTGCAGCCTGTGGCCTGGCGGGAGTAAAGGAGGCTGGGTGGAATGCAGGCCGCCCACAACCTCAGTCGGGTGTCGGGTGGATCATGGACCGTTGCCGTTTCACACCTTGCGGATCTACTGACACCCGGCCTGGGCCACACCTGCGTGATGATTAACATTAAGATCCCGACGTCACTGATGGTGCCAAGTACAAGTAGTAGTAGTAGTAGTAGTAGTAGTAGTAGTAGTAGTAGTAGTAGTAGTAGTAGTAGTAGTAGTAGTAGTAGTAGTAGTGGTAGTAGTAGTAGTAGTAGTAGTAGTAGTAGTAGTAGTAGTAGTAGTAGTAGTAGTAGTAGTAGTAGTAGTAGTAGTAGTAGTAGTAGTAGTAGTAGTAGTAGTAGTAGTAGTAGTAGTAGTAGTAGTAGTAGTAGTAGTAGTAGTAGTAGTAGTAGTAGTAGTAGTAGGTAGTGGTAGTGGTAGTGGTAGTGGTAGTGGTAGTGGTAGTGGTAGTGGTAGTGGTAGTGGTAGTGGTAGTGGCAGTGGCAGTGGTAGTGGTAGTGGTAGTGGTAGTGGTAGTGGTAGTGGTAGCGGTAGTGGTAGTGGTAGTGGTAGTGGTAGTGGTGGTACGCACGCTCGCGCAGCATTCAATTGAGCAGTAGTAGTAGTAGTAGTAGTAGTAGTAGTAGTAGTAGTAGTAGTAGTAGTAGTAGTAGGAGTAGGAGTAGCAGCAGCAGCAGCAGCAGCAGCAGCAGCAGCAGCAGCAGCACCAGCAGCAGCAGCAGCAGCAGCAGCAGCAGCAGCAGCAGCAGCGGTAGCAGTAGAAGTAGCAGTAGCAGTGTAATGCCTGGGAGAAGAAGAGCGAGAAGAAGAGAGAGAGTGACTGAGAGTGAGAAAAAGAGAGAGAGAGAGAGAGAGAGAGAGAGAGAGAGAGAGAGAGAGAGAGCGAGAGAGACCTGCACACCAACGACGCAGGGGGTGAAGAAGACCTACAGACAGAAGGGGGAGCACTCACTGCGAACCAAATGGAAGCCATGATGACTGCCAGCCTGCAACAGGCGGTCAACGAGGTGGGGGAAATGGAGACCCTGCCGACTCAGAGTGAGAGCCAGGGCACCACGCTCCCTTGGCCAGCACAGTGGCACGGAGGGGGACCTGGGCAAGAACACAGTGAGAGAGGCCGCTCTAGAAGCCCACGTCAAGACGAGGA